CATTTTTACACTGTTGGTGGGAGTGTAAGTTAGTTCAACCATTGTGGAAGAGAGTGTGGCAATTCCTCAAGGACCTAGAAACACAGAAATTCAATTTGGCCCAGCAATCCCATTACTGGGTATATATCCAAAGGATTATAAATCGTTCTACTATAAGGACACATGCACATGAATGTTCATTGCAGCACTGTTTACAATAGCAAAGACCTGGAACCAACCCAAATGCCCATCGATAATAGACTGGATAGGGAAAATGTGGTACAGATACACCATGGAATATTATGCAGCCATCAAAAACGATGAGTTTGTGTCCTTTGTAGGGACATGATGAACCTGGAAACCATCATTCTCAGCAAACTGACACGAGCAGAAATTCAAACACCGCATGTTCTCACTCATAGGTGAGAGTTGAACAATGAGAACACATGGACACAGGGAGGGGAGCACTACACAGTGGGGTCTGTTGGGGGGAAATGGCAGAGGGATGGGGGCGTGGGGAGGTGGGGAGAGATAGCATGGGGAGAAATATCAGATATAGGTGAAGGGGAGGAAGGCAACAAATCACACTGCCATGTGTGTACCTATGCAACAATCTTGCATGTTCTTCACATGTACCCCAAAACCTAAAATGCAATTAAAAAAATAATGTAAATAAGTTAAATTCACCTATTAACAGGCAGAAATGATCAGACTGGTTATAAAAAGAATGCTCTTACTGATAAATGACATACAAAGTTTGAAAATAAAGGGTGAAAAAAGCTATAACAGACACCGCATAAGAATGAAAGGATTCAAGAAGATTTACATAAGTCAAATAAGGTACTCCCAAACAAACATGGCCACAATTATAAGAGTTTTTTTGCTCGAATTAAAGATTTTTAATATGCTTCCAACAAAGCAATAAAGCCAGAACAAAAAAAAAAGTTGAGGGAACCAATGTCATAGATAACAAATGTAATTGGCTTAATCTAACAGATTAGCCACAAATAATTAATATACTTTCTATCAAACACATAGAACTTCTACAAAAAGTAAACATGCAGTTGGCCACAAATAAGTCTCAATACATTTAAAAAACTTAGTATCTTATCAATTCTCTAATCATAACGCAATTTAAAATAAACTAGACCAGGCATGGGAGCTCATGCCTGTAATCTAAATCAGAATAATAATACTTTGGGAGGCGGAGGCAGGCAGATTGTTTGAGTCCAGGAGTTAAAGACCAGCCTGGGCAACATGGTAAAACACCCTCTCTACAAAAAAATAGAATACAAAAACTAGCCTTGCATGCTAGCACATGCCCGTAGTCCCAGCTACTCAGGAGCCTGGGAGGTGAAGGTTGCAGTGGGCTGAGATCACACCATTGCACTCCAATCTGTGCAACAGAGTGAGACCCTGCATCAAAAAAAAAAAAAAGTTAGCCTGGCATGGTGGCATGTGCCTGTAGTCCCAGCTTCTTGGGAGGCTGGGGTTGGAGACCCTCTTGAGCCCAGGAGGTCAAAGCTGCAGTGAGCCATAACTGCACCTCTGCACTCCAGCCTGGGCAACAGAGCAGGACCCTGTCACATATGTACTTAGAAGAGTAAAAAGCAGACAACAGTAAACAACTCTATGTGCTTGCAAACTAAAAAACACACTTCTAAATAATCACTATGAAAACCATATAACATTTAGAACTTAATAACCATAAGAGAAATATACATCAAAAGAAGTCCTGGAATGTAGTAAAGCTATAGTTGGAGAGAAATTTAAAGACTTAAATATATTTATTAAAAAACAAGACAAAAATAAATGAAGTTAAGAAACTTAAAAAAAAAAATCCACCCTAGTTAGATCATCTTTTTTTATTTCTATAAAGATTAATGAAATTTTACAATAGCACAGATTACCAAGAAAACCAAAGCTGGTTCTCTGAAAAGACTAATGAAACAGATAAATCTCCCAGGAACCTTGATAGAAAAAGACAAAAATAAACAATATTGGAAAGCTACCAAAAGGAGGGGTGTATATGGTTATAGATACAGTCCAGATTTCAAACATACAACCATAGAGTCTGTTTATGCTAAAATATTTTAAAACACACATGCACACTTTTCTAGAACCAAAAATTATTATAGACATAGAACATCTAAATAGATAAATAATTATTAAAGAAGCTAAATTCATACACAAGAAGAGTCTCCTTGACAAAAGAACACTAGATTGACACAGTTTCACAATTTTAATCAAAGGGCAAAAGATATTTAATTATAAGAAGCTTCCAAAAAAGAAACAAAACAAGAAAACTATTCAGTTTATTTCATCTAGCCAGAATAATATTGATATCAAAGGACAAGAACTAGAAAAAAAGCGTACCACCCATTTCACTTTTGTTCATAGATGCAAAACCTACATAACAAATGATACCAGTCAAACCCAGCAGTCTTTAAAGGAAAACAAGAAAGCTGCCTTTGCAGTTCAGTATGTTAAAGCATTAAAGGAGGGGAAAAGAACATACCACCACCTGGATTAACTGGGGGGAAAAGAAGTTTTGATACATGTAACACTCATTCAAATTAGGAATTAAGGGGAAGAATTTTAAACATAAAAAAAAGAATCTACCAAAACCCTAGAGCAAACTTCAAATGTAGTGATTATTAAGAGTGGACTTCTCAAAATCATAAACAAGGAAAGGAAGTTCACCATCACTTTTTCTATTCCATATCACATGGGAAGTCCTAAACAGAGAAAAAGGAGAGAATGCAGGAGAATTATCAAGGGAGAAAATGATCATAATTTGCATACAACTGTCTTCATCAAAAATGCAAGGGACTTCATAGAATGAATAAGAGAGTCCAGCAGGACTGAAGATCTGTGTGTGTATGTAAATATACATGTAGCACAACATCTAAAAATCCTACATGTATAACCAATTAGAAAATACAATAGAAAAAGTCCACTTATTATATAGCAACAAAACTATTCAGCATCTTGAAGCAAAATATATATGCAAGAATTCTATGTAGTAAAACAAAACACTATTAAAGGTTAAAAAAAACCTGTAAATGGAGATGTATCATATTCATGGAAGATTCAATAGCATAAATAAATCCATTATCTGCAAATTAATCTGTAAATCCAATGTAACTGGGATTTATGAGGGGGTGGGCCCTACCCTCATAAATTATCATGTAATCTTATTATTTAGCTATTGGTATTATAATACAGGAAAGAAGCTTGAAAAATCTATCCACTTGAGTGATTAGCATCTTCCTTAGTCTATCCTCTCAAATAGTGATTATTTCCTCCAACAGAAGCAGAATTGCAAAAGGTTTTGGATTTAGGTCCCTGGGAAGTAGTGTTCTAATGACTAACCAAGAAAACAGGTGGCAAAATAGATACCATACTGTTATAATCTCATATTCTTGCTTATAGGGATGGCCAGACATTTTACGCTTCTACCTGACACAGAAGTACTCTAGAAGATTCAGGTAGTGTAGAGAGTTACTCCCTTCATATGCTTCACATGTGCACAACTCAGAGTACAGACAACAGAACAAGTAACAGCTGGACACCATGTAATACTGTTTAGCTATCTCTCTTTATAAAACAACTCATGCTAGCATAATAGTTCCTGTATATTTCTTATTTTAAGAAGGACTGTATCCCTAACGATGCACCAGAGCCAGGTGCAAAATATACTCTCAAATAACGGACAAACCTAATCCAGGTATTTAATACTATATGTATAATAATATGAATATAACCGTTTTGATTCACACACAGCTGATAAGTATATATAGACAATAGATTAAGTTGCTTAAATACACTTGTGAACTGGGATAATAGGCCCATTTGATCAGAGAGAAGATATGATTATCTTTCTACTTGCTGTGGTAAATTGGTGTATAGTTCATCAAAACATAGTACTCTTCAGTTTTAATTTCAAATATGCTTTAATTTTAAATATACATCATATGTAGATCATACAGTAACTCTAGTTTAACCCTCTGATAGAAACTCCCAACTATTTCCAAATTTTAAACTACTTATTTTATATTAAATTAAAAGGAAAGGGAGTTGTTAAAAGACACTTTTTTATAAGGGTATGCACAATGGCAAATAAAACAGACATGGTCTCTGCCCTTGGAACTTACAGTCCAGTGGAAAAGACAGACAAAAGGAAATTAACAAATGCATTTAATGTATCAAATTATGCTAACTAGAAAGAAAAATCAGTAAGACGATGAAAAAGCCCAACACGGGAGCCGACTTAGCATGGTCAAGGAAGGCCACTCACAATACAGGCTGAAGGCGCGTGTGAATTGTCTTTTTCCTGAGACAGAAAAAATACCTGAAAGAGTTTTCAGACTGAAAGGTCAGTTAAGCTGGAGAGTTTGAGGAGGGAAAATGGGAGCGGGAATAAGATCACGTAAAAAGGGAGCAGGAGGAGCTTTTGAAGTGCAACAGGAAACCACCGTAGAGTTTTAAGCAAAGGAATTACACGATCAAATGAAAAGATTGCATTGGCTGCTGTGTGAAAACTTAGGGATGATGAGAGGAATGGGCCAAGAATGAAAGTTTGTCAAGACACTTGTAATTATACCGAGACCAGATAAGGAAAATCTGAACGAGAATCAGGTAATTCTGATTGCACTGGGAAGCATGCTATCAATTTAGAAACCAATGTAAAGGAAATTTACATAAGGTAAACTCTATAAACTTGCTACTAAGGGAAATAAACTGGAAACTGAAGTATTCGTGGCAATTCCTGCTACTCAGATAACTTCCAAAAGCATACTGCTGTTTACTTGGGCGAAATTTTCACCCACTTCAAATGTCTTCTAAGACGCAGGTGAACTACTCAGGTGAAAGAGGATAAACGGCGAGTGAACGAGCTGAGAAGGGAAAGCCGCAGTGAGCGGTCCTGAAGGTCCAGCCAGTCTTCAGAAAAAGTACCCACCTAAGCAGCCTCGCTTACATGAAAGAAAGAAGGGAAGCTCAGCCGCCGAATGTCTTACTTGTATTCTTCCTCCAAAGCGAGGAGGTCGGTCCAGGTGCAGAGCGTCGTCGAACGGGTGGCGGGAGCGGAGTCCCTGGAACGCGGCTTCTCTGTAAAAGAGGCAGAGAGTTTCAGACCCGAAGGTCAAGGAGGTTTAGGCGTCCTCGTCGCCGGAGCCCAGACACTCCCCAGGAGCCTGGAGTCGAACCCACCGGGAGACCAAGACCTCGCCCCGCCATCTTCAGCAACTGCGACGCGGTTACCGAGGCAACGACGCACCTTCCCACGAGCGTGTCCGCGTCCCGGGCAACCTCCGCCCCTCCCCCCGGCGCCGACGCCCTCCGGCTCCCGGGTTCCGTGCGGCAAGCGGCGGGAGGCTCTGCCGTGGGCCCCACCCTGGCTTGCACCGCTCAGCGCCGCCCCAGGAACTAAGTGCAAATTCGACTGACGGCCAGAGCACATTGTCCACTTGGGTGGGTGGGGCGTGGGGGGCTGCAGGAGTTTCAACCAAAAACGGCAGGTCCGTTGCTGCTGCTCCGCAGAAAGCAAGCTGGTGAGGAAGTCCCGCCCTCTTTGGCTTTTCAAACCCTTAGTGGCGAATCTGACCTTCACTCCGTTTGCTTCAAGTGAACTCTTCAGTGGAATTCTGAAGTTTTGGTTTCTGACGTTTGTTTACAGCATGCACGGCTAAGATTCAGGCTCTCCGGTTAGTCAACCTAAATTCTTACACTGGCACTGCCATGTGGCCTTGGGCAAAACGCTCTGTATCTTGGCCACTTCATCTGTCAAAAGGGAATGAGAATAGTGCCCACTTCACGGTTGTGGTGAGAAGCCAATGAATTCATGCTTAGGATCATGCCTGAAACATGTAAGCACTTAATCATTCCAATTGTTTTGGAATAAAATGGACGTCCAGAAATAAACCTTCATATGTGTGTGGTCAATTGATCTTTAGCAAGGGTGCAGAACCATTCAATGGGAGAAGAATAATCTTCAACAGATGGAGAGATAACTGGATATCGTAGTGCAAAACAATGCAGTTAGATCCTTACCTCACATCACATACAGAAATTAAAACAGATCAAAGACCTAAACGTAGGAGCTAAAACTCTAAAGCTCTTCAAAGAAACTGTTGGTTTAAATCTTTATGACCTTGAATTACAATTCTAAGAATCTTTGATGGATTTTTAGCTATGACAACTGAAACCATTACAAAAAAAAAAAAAAGGAAATTAAACGAGACATTATTGAAACTAAAAACCTTTTGTTTCAAAAAATACCATAAATAAAGTAAGAAGACAAACTACAAGAAGAGGGGAAATTCTTGCAAATTATATATCTGATAAATAACTTGTGCCTAAACTATATAAAGAAATATTAAAATTCAATGCAGGTGGATGCAGTGGTTAATGCCGATAATCTCAGCTAATGCCTATAGCTTAATGCCTATAATAACCAGCCAAGGTAACAGAGTGAGACCCCATCTCGACAAAAAAAAAAAAAAAAAAAAAAAAAAAAAGGAGAAAATAGATAAATAAAATTAGCTGGGTCCAGTGTCGCATGCCTATATTCCCAACTACTCATGTGACTGAGATGGGAGGATCACTGGAGCCTGGGAGAGCAAAGATACAGAAAGGCATGGTCACACCACTGCACACAAGCCTGGGTGACAGAGTGAGACCTTGTCTCAAAAAAATAAATAGACAACCCATGTTAAAAATAGGCAAAGAATCTTGAATAGGGATTTCTCCAAAGAACATATACAAATAGCCAAAAAGAATATGAAAAAATGCTCAATATTGTTAGTTTTCAAGGCAATAAAAATTAAAACCAAAATTAAACGCCACTTGACAACCACTAAAACGGCCATCCAAAAGGATGGACAGCCAGGTGCAATGGCACACCTGTAATCCCACCACTTTGGGAGGGCAAGGCAGGTGGATCACCTGATGTCGAGAGTTTGAGACCAGCCTGGCCAACGTGGCGAAACCCAGTCTCTACTAAAAATACAAAAAATTAGCCGGGCGTGGTGGCACATGCCTGTAATCCCAGCTACTCAGGAGGCTGAGGCAGAAGAATCACTTGAACCCAGAAGGCAGAGGTGGCAGTGAGCAGAGATCACACCACTGCACTCCAGCGTGGGCAACAGAGGGAGATTCCGTCTCAAATAAATAAATAAATAAATAAATAAATAAATAAATAAAAGATGGCCAATAACAAGTGTAGAGAAGGATGTAGAGAAACTCGAACCCTCATCAACTGTTAGTGGGAATGTGAAAATTGTGCAGCCACTGTGAAAAATGGTGTAGCCATTCTTCAATAGTTTATACACAGTTACCACATAATCCAGCAACCACTACTAAGTACACACCCAAGCAAAACGAAAACATAATGCACACAAAAAGCATATATACAAATGTTTATAGCAGGATTATTCATAATAGCCAAAATACAAAACAAACCCATAATGATCATAAACTGATTCGTGGTTGAATAAAAACTGGTATATTCATTCAATGGAATATTATTCAGAAACAAAAAAGAATGAAGCATATACATATATATATATATATATATATATATATATATATACAGCAATATGGATGAACCTTGAATCTATTATGCTAAGTGAAAAAAGCCATTCACAAAAGACCAACTATTATCTAATGTCATTCACAAAAGATCACATACCATAGGATTCTATTTCAATATAACTGCATATTATAGGAAATGTCCAGAAAAGGCAAATCTAGAGAGACAGAAGTAGATTAATAGTTGCCTAGGCTTGGCAAATAATGGAGGATTGGCTAAGGAGTTGCAGGGTTTTGGGGGCACTAGTGAAAAAAATTAAAATTGATAGTGTTGCTGGTGTACAACTCTGTGAATACACTGAAAGTCAATGAATAGTACACTTTATATGGGTAAATATAGATACGTGAAATCAATCACTCAAGCTGTTAAAAAATCTTAAAAATAACAAATTATAACATCAATGGATAAAGAAAGGAAGGCTACGCTAGTAGTAATCAAAAGGAAGCTGGAGTAGCTACATTAATTTCAAAAAAAGATGACATCAGAACATGGAAAATTATCAGGGACAAAGCACAGTATTAATGATAGAGTCACTTCTCCAGGGGACAGAACAATCCTGGTGTATACGCTCCTAACACTGTCAAAATGCATAAGGCCAAAACTGATTGGATTTGCAAAGAGAGATAGACGAATCCCTTATTATAGTTGGAGACTTCAACACTACTTCTTCAGTAATTCATAGGTTAAGCGCGCAGAAAATCAGCAAGAGTTGCTCTAGACAGCACCATCAATCAACTTGATGTAATGGACATTTATAGCACACTCATTTCAATAACAGCAGAATACACACTTTTCTCAAGGTCTCATGGAATGTTCACCAAGCTAGAAACATTCTGGGCCATAACACACATTAATAAATTTAAAAGAATAGAAATTATATAGTTTAGGGTAGCTGTAACAAAGTACCACCAAGTGAGTGGTTTAAAACAGCAGGAATGTATTTTCTCAGGGGTCTGGAGGCTAGAAGTAAAAAACCACAGTATCAGAAGGACTATGTTTTGCTTGAAACATGCAGGGGAAAATCTTTCTTTGCCTCTTTCTAGCTTCTGATGGTGGCTGTCACTTCTTGGCTTACAGCTGCATCACCACAACCTCTCTCTGCCTCTATAATCATGTAGCATTTCCCCTGTGTGTTTTTGTGTTTGCATGGCATTCCTGCTTTTCATAAAGACTCCAGTAATACTGGATTTTGGCCACACTAATGACCCCATCGTAACTTGATTACATCTGTAAAGATCATATACAGGTACTGGGGGGTTCAGACTTCAATATATGGTAGGGAGGGGGAGGTGCCACACTTCAACCTATAACAGAAATTATGCAAACTGTGGTCCCAGACCACAATAAAACGAAACTAAAAATCAGTAATGAAACAGCTGGAAAACCACAAAATATCTGCAAATTAAGCCCACATTTCTAAATAATACATGGATCAGGTAAATATCTAGAAGAATGAAAAAACGTTTTGAATGAAATAAAAATTGAAATATAACTGATCGAAACCCATGGAGTGCTGTGAAAGCAGTGCTCGGAGTGCTCAGCATTCAGTACATGTCAGAAAAGAAGAGAAATCTCAACTCGATCTGAACCTTCAGCAGCTAAAGGAAAAATATTAAGCTTAAAGAAAGCGAAAGAAAAGTAACAAAATAAACATTAGATCATAAATCAATGCCATTGACACTGGGAAACAATAGATAAAATTACAGAAACCAGACTCTAGTTAAAATCAATAAACTTACAGCTGTGCTAACCAAGAAAAAAAGAGAAGATCCAGATCACCTGCTCTGTGTTATTTTCTGTGGTGGTCAGTTAGGTGTGTCCATAAGAGGAAAACAATATTTATTATACTCACAGGTCTTAGAAATAGGAGCCATGCCATGTCATACAGGGTTACACGGGGAAGCCTTGGGGTAGTTAGTCAGGAGGCAGAAAGCAGGGGCAACAGAAAAACCTCGACTAGAGCCTCTATTGGAGTTTCCACAGGAAAAGTAAGGTTGGGTAGAGTAACAGATTAGGATTAGCTAGTATGAATAATTACAGAGGGCCTTGGAGTATACAGGTTGTCCCTAGTATCTGGTAGGTATCTCTGCAATGGTTAAGACAGAGGAAGGCCTGTTGTATATGGGCCAGGCAGGGGAGGTATGGCTTGATATTTAGGTTTTTATATATCAAAGCCATGCTCCCTGGATAAATCCATTTGCTTAGGTACGAATTGGCTTGCCTCAAGAGGGCGTAGTTTCTCCCAAGTCAGAAAGGATTTTTTAAAAGATGTCAAAACATTGTACAGAAAATTTTAAAATATAAGCGGTATAGTACCAATATTAGAAACGGGATATAAGTCATCAATAATTGTCCCATGAAAATTAAAAGGATAATCAAGGAATACTATGACCTCTATGCCCCAAAATTTAATAAAGTAGATGAAATGGAGCAATTACTTGAAAGATACAAACTACCAAAACTCATGCAAGGAGAAACAGATAATCTGACTAGGCAAGGACGTTGAGTCAATAACCTTCCAAGAAAGAAAACACCAGTCCCAGATGGTTTCTCTGGTAAATTTTAACATACATTTAAGGAAGAAATACCAATTTTACGTAATCTTTTTTTCTGGAAAATAGAAGCAGAAGGAACATTTCCCAATTCATTCCATGAATCTAGCATTACCCTAATATTAAGAGCAGTTAAAGACATTGTAGGAAAACTACAGACTGGAATCCCTTATGAATACAGATTTTTAAATCCTTAACAAAATTTTAGCCAGTATAATCCAACAATTTCTAAACAGAATTATGCAACACACGGAAGTGGGTTTTATTCTCAGTATACAAGGATGGTTCAGTATTCTAAAATCAATCAATGAACACAGCACATTAAGAGGTTAAATAAGAAAAATTATAGGAGCCATATAAATTCATGCAGCAAAAGCATCTGATAAAATCCAACACCCTTGAAGGTACCAACT